AAGACACACAAGCCTGCTTCTTTTTCACTGGGCACTGCTCTCTGGTCACCATCATGGTCCAATGACCAGAAGCTGCAAACTGACCAAAGGCTAAGTGGACCTGATGGCTGTGAAACCAACTGTTTGCAACATTTCTCTCTGATTTTCAGGAATTTCAGATGTCTATGAAGTGCCTCAGAACAAACTTCCCTCCTGTGAACCTGCAATGCTAAGGTGCTAATATTGGATACTGAGAAACCCAAGCCTTCAAAATTGAGATCAACAGATATTTGCAGATCTGGCGCACAAGTCAAAGCGTGTTTCTAGCTAAACTATTAGTTTCTTTTATGATTTTTAACCATTTCATGTGTTTACTGTTGGGTAAAGACACTAACAGGTAGAACCAAATGGTACGCCATGCTGATATGCTCAAAGCTGTTATTTTGTAAAGCTAAAACAAGCTTTATTTCACTAAGTTTAAACAGAAATATAACTTTAACATCCATGAGTTTTGTCATATGCTCATTCCATTTCGATTACCAAATTATGACTAAAAGTCCTCATGTTTTGTTAGCTAGCTCAATCAAAGAACATTAATAATCAATCAACTAAAGGTTGTTGATTTCTGATTAAGCAAATCATTTAATAAAACATTAATTTCCCAGTAGTGCTTTGTTTGCCTCTTGGAATTGCATTGTGAATTGGTTTGAGCATACCGGTATTTCAATTAATGTAAATTGGCTGGGTGCTGGTCAGACCACATTCCAAATTCTTCAAGATAAACTTTGGTTCTCAAGCATAAAATCCCTGCTGAACGGTGGTAGCATTGCTTCATTTTATCAAATAGGGTTTCAACCATGTTATTCCTTCTTCATTGTGTACATAGTAGGTTAGCTTAATCGAGTCAAGAGTTTTAACTGTAATATGTTAGACTTGGACCTGAATGATTTTTGTTAATAAACTCGTATTTTGAATGGAAGTTGTTGTGAATTTATTCTATACTTGCAGAGTTATCATTTGTTGCTCTAACACACAACCAGTAGGCTGCATGTTCACAAACACTACATGACTATCTGAATATCATTTAAATAAATAACATATTTATCACACCTAATCTGGTGGGCAATAAATATATTTGTCTTGCATACCAACTTTAGCTTAAAATAGTGGCCATTTTTTTCATCCTTGACGGTAAAGTCAGCTTCTAACATTTGGTATCATAATTTGTAAGCAGCTAAAATGAAACTCCTATCTTTGAAGGCTGGGCTTAATTAAAGAGATAACAAAAAGATGCAAAAAGGTTTATTTAATAAGAATGTCCCTTTAAAGCCTCATTTATAGGTTTTCCAAGTATATCCAAAGTGAAGAAAATCCTGAACAGACCCAGAACTTTACAATATCTGCCAAAGAACACCTAGAGACGAGAGATGTAGGGGTAAGGGTTTCCATTTTAGCTCTACAAATGGATGGATGGAAGATTTTTATAGGATTCTTTTTCTTTTATTAAAACAAAGGCAAAGCCACAGGGCTGACCTCTCACATGTTTTCTATTTCTTTGTTTCTTCAAAGGATGAGATAAAAGGTTTCACTGGACAGTTTTTAATTTTCCAGAAAACCCCAGGGTTTTAGAATATTTTTAAAAGAAAGAAAGCCTGAAGTCTGAATGCGTTAATGGACCTTACAGGACATGGCAACTGCTCTAATGCTCTCTGAAACCCACCGTTTCAAATGACTTACAACATGTGGTGATGGTTTGTGACTGCACAGAACATGCCTTTCTGGGATTCTGAGCTGCCTCTGTGACAAATGCAGCAGCCACCAACAGAAATGAGCCAAGCAGCCAAGCAAGAAAGGTAAAATAAAATTAAATGTCTGAATTCCCTGAAATATAGGAAAAGTTTGCATTACTTTTTAAAACCACATGAGGAAATGGGTAAAGTGGAATTGGTTTGTCAAATATGATTTAGAGGCAGGTTACCCTGTTGTTGAAAAGCAATATGCAATGTGAGGTGTCAATGTGTTTTGGACAGAACAACTAAATGCGTTTAAGAGTTCGGTTTTGCTCTGTCCTTCATAACTGACATAATGTCTCTATTGGCATCACGTATTTAAATTACAGTAATTACAGCTTTTAAAATAAATTTATATTTGAAAAGAAAATACTGCAGCCTTGATTTTTTTTCACATTTACTGTTTACTTGTGATATGGATGGAAAATGGTGTATAATTTTCAGAAAGGTTTTTGTGGAAAAAAAAAAAACAACTTAAAAAGTGTGTCTTTGTATTCATGTCCCTGAGTCAACAATTAATCCACCAACCTTTCACTGAAATTAGAGCAGCTTTTACCTTGTAGAAACTATGATACATTCAAACTTGCCACATTTGGTCCATTTTAAACAGATACAGAATTTGTGTCCCCTTTGGTCTTGACCCATTGTGCTGATGTGAATACACTCAAGCTGACCGTGGTCCAGACAAAACTACATGACCGAGATATTGTGCTGTTCACTACTGGCCTGAATGCAAATTCATTGGATCTCCTTCACCTTGCATGATGCATTCTCAGATGCATCATGATGTTTTTCAGGTATGTATCTATGTCCAGTGATGGAGGGGCCCTCTTGGTCAGTGACAAGCATTTGGGCAAGGTGGGCACCAGCATAGAATGAAAATACAATCTTTGGACCGTTTAATTTTATTTTGCAATATAAAATTTCGGTGGGTTCACAGAAAAAAGAAGGAAACACACCCTCATAATATATGGATGCTTTTGCAAGGCCATGACCTCTAGTTACTAGTTTGAAAAAGCATAGTTTTTTCAAGCATCAGAATAGTTTTAGAGTAAAAAACTAGAAATATGAAAAATTTTCAGTTACAGTGCTTCTCAAAATGTCCCAACCTTAAAAACCTCTGCTGTTTACATTTAATGATATTCTTTTTCAATCTGTCAGTCATTCATAAAGTCAATCAGTCAATCATAAATATGTAATATCCCGATACCATGAAATCCTGTGGTATCTGCAATAATCAGGACAGAACCAACAGGAATAAAATGTAATCTTTACCGAGATGCCTGCCCTCTTTTTCCTTTTTTTCTCTATCTTTCTGAGAAGAGAGCAATGATAGGAATAAAAAAAAAGATAGTAAGAGGCTGCCAGGTGACTCAGTGCATAAAGCTAACAGCACCACACTCAACACAAGGTGAACTTTATCACAACCTCTGTCTCCAGACAAAACACGCAGCATCAAACAAGAACAACAGTGTACCAACACTGACCCTCTGCACTCAAACAGCACATGGCTGACTCCTTTGTGACACAATGCCTAACACAAGCTGTGATTTACATTCCTTCTAAGAAAGGGCCACATTTTCTCACTTATCTGTGTTATTGTGGCTAAACAAACTTTACATTGCTTGGCACCAAATAATGACAGAAAGGCATTCAACCAAAATGTGACGCAGTTTTTTTTTCCACTGACCACATGAGATGTTAGAGTAGTGTGTGGAGAGTGGTGTGATTGAGAGCACCAGCTGTAATACCACTGCATGACACTGATGCAAACCATGCTGCGTACTGATTGACCACATCAATGAGGACAAAAGAAACATATTTAATGTAATCTGTTTTTCCACATGGAGAGAAGCTGAGATCAGCTCCATGTTTCAAGTCTTGCAGGTTTTTTTTTTTTTTTTTTTCAGCTCTAACATTTCTAGTGACTGAATACATCCAAGACTCCACGGAGCCATAGTGTAACAAACTTTTGTGCAGCCATGAAAAACTCATATTTCCTGCAAGTTAACTAATCTTCCGTTTAGAAATGATCACAATTAAAAGTAAGAAAAATAGCCAGATAGCCAGGAAAAAAATATAATGATGGTAGACCGAGCCAAGATCCTGTGGTTTGCCAACAAACCAGACATTGTGGTGGTTGACATAGCAATACCAAATGACTGCAACATCAGAAAAAAGAACATGAAAAACTAGAGAAATGCCAGGGTCTCAGAGAAGAGCTGGAGAAAACCTGGAAGGTCAAGGCATCAGTGGTGCCCGTGGTCATTGGGGCACTCAAGGCAGTGAGCCCCCAAACTTGAGAAGAGGCTACAGCAGATCCCTGGAAATACATCAGAAATCTCTGGCCAGAAGAGTGCAGTTCTAGGAACAGCAAACATACAGCACAGAACCCTCAAGCTACCAGGCCCAAGTTGAGCTTTGAGGAAAAAAAGGGAGACCACCTGCAGTGGGTGAGGGCGTTTTTTATTTTTTATGTTATTTGATTGACCTGAATCAATTAATAGGTCATAACCAAGAGTTGCTAAAGGCTAGGCAAAGAGCTGTTGCAAAAGCAGAACATGTTTAGTCTGTCTTCATGAAATATATAACAAAAATCCAAACAACAAGTGTTGATAGCTCTCTAAGAACAATCAATGCAGTCCTTATCCGGGATAGTAAGCTTCCATTCTGACATTAACAAGCTAGTCCCCTTAGGGCAACCGTATTTAAAGATGGCAATGGCATATCTCGACGTCCTTTCGTGTGCACCGACAACGTTATTTGTCATTTTAGCACGACGTCGCAGCTTGCTCAGCTTAGCCATATTGAAGAATGGACACAAGCAGTGGAATGCTAGCTATTCTACAGATATATATCTTCCTTTGCAGGGTATCATAGAGGTTTAGTATGTACAAGTGAAATGTACTTAGGGTCAAACATGAGTCTTTGGTGAACGCTATTTGAACCAATAAGAAAATTCAACTACAACAAACCCTTGTCATTTTAGGACAATATTGAGTCAGTTGGAGAATAATAGGAGCAGAAAATCTTACATATAGATGTAATGCAATGTACACTAACATTAAAATAACACCTATAGATCCAGTTTACACAGTTTTAATAAAAAGGTGGATTGTGGGGTGAGTTACACTTTAAATTCAATTAACAGATCTAATCTTGTTTTTGAAATTTCACTCAAGTTTACCAGAACATGAAGAGAAGAGGAATGGAGTGAAGCAAGCTACACACCTTGACAAGTTCTTTCGTTGGTAAGCAGCTTGTAGCCTTTCTTGCAGCTGCACTCGAAGCTGCCCACAGTGTTTCGGCATACATGATCACAACCTCCATTGTTCAGACGGCACTCATCAATGTCTGCAAGGAGAAAACCCCAATGAGGAGTGGGTCATCTAAATCACTCATCACAACAGTAAGGGAGAGATAAATGTGCAAAGGAAAACCGAACTATTCCCTCTTTTAGTAGAAAACTAGTTGTTTAATTTGTTTTTGTTATTTTTAACAATGTTCATTTGAGCACTGTGTTTTAGAAGTAAAAATCTGGCAAAGTTTGATGGCAACTTGGTGACAAAGAGGAATTCAAAAGTGGTATCCAGGGTGTTGGAGATACAACTTAAGGAAAAGTGAATTATTGCCTCTATGTGTTGCTCAGTTTTCCAGAAAATGCTGAATTATAATAGGATTTTGTTACTGGTCTCAAAAGAAAAAAGAAATAAACTGTTTGCATGTGACTTAAATTAATTACAAGTCTCACATAAAAAGCCCCCTAGCAGTAAATTTAAAATAAGTACTGTCCATCTCCTTTAGATTTTAACATTCTTTATGACAGCAAGTTCTAAAGCAGCTCAGATTAATCATTGTTGAAAATAACCCTTGTTTTTCTCAAGGGATCCTTCATCATCTGGATAAAATTAAGTTCATAAGAAATTGCAATAATGTATCAGTCTCCTGCTTGCCCTATTCATCTCTGTCTGTTTAGAAGTGCATTGTCTCAAGCAAGTTCTCTTTCTATTTCTGCCAATGCCACCTGGCTTGTTTTCTCCATCTTGTTTTTTTAACAACAACCAACTAATACAAGTCAAAGTGGATTTATCACAGTTTGCCTAATCATACAGGTAAAAAATACAAAAAACAAAAAACAGTCAAATGTTTATACTGTTCCTCTTTGAAAATATCAAAAATTAAATGACAATAAAATTCTTTACATTCAAATGTCAGATATTTCCCTTTTTAAAAAAATAAATTTTAGTCTTCTTTTCTATACAGTCCTTTTGATCAATGCAAGGGCTATATTATTAATAATCCCAATATGCTTGTTTTTGTCTGTCAAGTGGTGGTCCCAAAAGATTAACATTAACTTGAGGTTTCTGAAAAAGAAAAAAAAAGGAGAATGAATTCAAAGTATAATTTCCTCCTGTAGACATTAAGAATAGAATAGAAAGAATACAAAGAATGCCAATAAAAGCACTCTCACTCTAGGACTGAAGTAGACATAGTGTTTGAGTTTGTGGTTATATTTTTGTATCAAATCTCAAGATATTTATCAGGCCTTCTTAAAGACAAATGCTTTAGGCAAAATCTCTTGTTTTGTTCTGGGGAGTCGCTGAATTGCTAGATTCAAGGAAATGGGGGCAGACCCGAGTACTGGATCAACTTAGGATGACCAGATTAAAAAAAAGGGAACAACAAAAAAACAAAACAAAAAACAAATGTGGGAAAACTAGGATGCTTATGAGGGACAACATGGGACCAATGCATCTTTTCCAACTCACTTTTACCATGTTTTTCTTTACGTTCCGTTCCCATTGTATCTAATTAAAAAATAACTTTGACAAACTTCACAAAAAAAAACAATCCTTTCACTCCTCAGTAAAAATAGAGATTCACCGTCTTTGTTGTGGCTCCGATTTTTTGTTTTTCTTTAAACATAATTTTAATTGCATTTCATCTTAAAATCCTTTGCCTGATCTGTTTTAGGAGGATGGTGCACAGGCTTGTCATGAAGTGGGGCACTGGTTGAGCTCTGGGACAATCACTGCATCCTTGCTTATTTTTCAATTAGAAAAAAAGCCTGTGTGAAGTTTTTCTTATTTTGTTGCACATTTGACACAGATGAATGGGGGACATTGTATCAATTTGTTGGACAGTGGGACAGAAGTGAAAAGTCTGGCACTGTTCTAAGCAAATTGTCAAATCTGGTTACTCTAGATCAACTAATCAGAAGTGGATTTCGGGAAACACGAGCATTTTAAGCCAATAAGTAACGCCCATTTGTTTATCCCCTTATCCATATATGGTCATCTGGGGCTTGTCTTTTGTGGTCAGTGGGTTTAAGATTCTGGACTGAGCCCAAGTCTGTAGCAAGGAAAAGATTTTACTTCTATTTTTCATGAGATGAACCCAATAATCTTGTAGCCTTTTTCCCTTAAATATTTAAAAAAAAAATTGTGTTAATGAGCTCTCTTCCTTGGCTATTATAATCCTTCATCCCACAGGTGTGGCATGTTAAGATACCCATTAGACAGCCTGATTATTCTACATGGTATTACCGCGTGTTTATAGAGAAAGTAATAGATCTTTAGATCCAGGTCATTAAAAGTGGGAGCAAAACGAACGTGCTGGATTCATATTCTGTGTCAGTAAATACAGTATATAATATTTAAGACTGCATTGGCGTAAAATGAACGGTTGAAGCAATATCTATATTCAGAAAGGGTTTTTTAAAGGTTTTTAAATGTTTAAATCTACCTGAAGGTTCATAACTAGTGAGTTTGAATGTTCATGCTATAACGTAATTGATAAAGCATATTAATACCAAAAAGGAATACTATAATATTGAATTATCAAAATTCACAGCCACAACTGCACATATGCTGTAAAACATTCTACAAGAGAAGCAGAAGACATGTTGATAGTTATTAAATCATATCATTTAATTGTAGGACTATTCTGCCTGGCAACAGGACAAGCAGGAAATTATTTTCATGACAGCAGGGTAGGTGCAGAGTGAATGCCGCGCTGATGCGGGGCTGATGGGCGATTTACCTTTGCAGGTCTTGCGGTCTGGCTGCAGAGTGAAGCCAACAGGGCAGCTGCAGCGGACCCCCGTCACTGAATCGTGACATGTGCTGTCACAGCCGCCGTTATTTACTGCACAGGTCTCTGCAAGGAAATAGGTAGAGAGATGAAAATACCAAGTCATTTGTTGTCCTGACCTACTTATTCAAACAGTATGCATGTGTACTGGCATCACAGCAAAAAAAAAAAAATTAGGAGCCAAGCTATCATCTACAGCTATAAAGAGAAAACAGGAGGGGGTGATGAGAACAGGGTTTTAGAGTAGAAAGAGAACAAGATGGTAGTAGTCTTGAATACAGCAGATGGAGTTAGAATATTAACTTGAAAACATGTAGAAAAGAAGATTTCAACATGAAGATATAGTTAACACAGCTTAAAAGGATTACATATATTAGTAGGTGTATATGTATTCTTTTAAATAATTCCTAATCTTGTATATGAGGAACAAGTATTCACTTTACTACCAACTTTACTGTTCACCATGGGCAAGCAAATCCATTTCTGTGAAAGCCATCATCAGCATCATTTGAACAAGGGTTTACTTTTTCTATGGCATTAGATTTTGTACTTGAAAATGAGAAAAATGATAATTGATTGTTTGAATTGCACAGCAAACAGTAAATAGACAAAGTTGCCCCTAAATGAAATATTAATCATTTAAAGGAGGCTGACTTTTTGTTTTAATGTTCAGCTGCATATTCTGTAAACAATCACTTGGAAGATAGAAAAAATGAAACCAGGATTGCAAATTAGTATTGAAAAATATTTTAGAATCTTTAACGCTTTCCAAGGCTATGTATTATTATCATTATCAACGAATAAGAGGTTTATTTGCAATAGACAGACTAATATAGATGAAAGATCCTAGCTCTCAAAGGAGAGTTTATGGTTTTCTTCACAAATAAACCTGACTCTACCAACATAGACACTAGATCTACACAGATTAAGGTAGTTGTAGAAATGTCTATAGATTCTGATCAGTGTTGGGACTATAATGATCCACTTGAGGTTTCTGAGTTATCAAAAACAGCATCTCAATCTAAATCTGCAACTTTATGGCAGGCTGGCCTAGTGGTTGGAGATGCTAACCTAGTGGTTAGCATTTGTGTCCTGGAAAGACCACAAGATCATTGGTCTGAAGGTCACCCTGTCAGTCAGGGTCCTTGAGAAGCTCAGTAATGCCGGATTGCTCCATAGATGCTACTCAGCACCAGCAGTACAATTCTCCTTTAAGGATGGTTTACATGCAAAGGGCACATTTCCCCACTTCCACACTACTATAAAAGAATATTTCCTTCCTTGATGATATTAGATCCCATCTAAACATTCGGCTTTAATTGCTAAATACTTGCTTATTAATTTACCCAAAAATATTCCTCAATCAGGGCACCCTCATTTTTCATCTTTTTTGTTTAAACTGTCTTCTTAAACGCCCAGCTGGTGATTTACACTTGGCCTGGTGCTACTAGAGGTCTCTACCTCTTAAATGAGTTTTCTTTTAAACTGTCTTTACATGCATGCTCAGTATGAGGGATTGATGCAAAGTCAACAGCTCCATGCAAGGGACAGTTGCACTGTTGCTACATGGATGCCAGGATGAAATAAATAGTTTTTTTTATTTGACTTTAAATCTTTTCAATTATGAAAGAACTCAATTCCCTTTTTGGAATCTACACTGAAAATTGATTCCAGTTACATAAAAAGGCTTTTAAGATTGTTATACCTAAACCTAAAGTCCTTTATCCTCCTTTCCTTCCAATAATTTATAAAAAAAAAATTGTGCCTATCAATTGTATAGCATTTACACACATATGATCGGTTCGAACAGTATCAAATTTTGAAACCTCACCACCGTTACACCACAATACCTGTCTGCACCTTCATGTTTTCCAAAACACAAAAAAGAGAAATCTTGTATTTATTTATTTGTAAAAGGTTATATAATACCTTCATCTTTAAAATAAAAAAAAGTTGTACTTTTTCTTGCACACTAAAGAGCAATGCTCAGATTTCAGGATTTGGCAGGTTATACAAACTTGCTGTTCTTGTTAAAAAAGGCAGATTTCTTTAATGTCCTTTTGTTTTAATATCCTTCTGGCAAATACTTTCTTTTGGAATATGTGTAGTATGTAATACTGTACCATCTACAGTACTACCCTTTCATTTGAAGACTCAAAAACAATTTACTCTGAAACCATGTGGCCAAGGGGTGTGTCTTCTAGAGTTATGATCACTGAGTTAGAATAGAATTGTTTGGTTATTCATTCATTTGGCCTTCTATACAAATTAACCTTGGTATCATTTTTAACCAGAAAATCATATTAAAATCCAATATTAAGCAAAACCGTGGTCATTTTATCTACAGCATTATGCCAAAGCTAGAAATTATTAATCTCAAACTGATGCAAAAAAAAACGACATTATGTACTTTTTACGTTAATTCAGGGCTGCCTAAAGTCAGCCTTCGAGGGCCACTATCCTGCAGGTCTTAGAGGTTTCCCTGCTTCAACAACTTTCCATAAATAGTTTATTAACTAGCTTTTGCTGAACTGCAATCATCAGAATTAGCTGTGCTGAAGCAGGGACCCTTAAAGCCTGCAGGACAGTGGCCCACGAGGGAAGACTTAGGACAGCCCTGTTTAAGGCTTAACATTTTAAAAGCTTTTTTTTCCCCATGAAACCTAAAATAGTCTATGAAATACCTTTAGCCTTTTCAGCTTGAAGCTCGGACTGAAAAGCAAAACAAAAAAACTCCAATGTTAACTTTTCCTCATTGACCACCTCTTTTAACCAGATTCACATTTAGCTTTCTTTAAGTTCAGTCCCACAAAAGTAAAGTACCTTTTATGTTTAAAAATCTGATTTTAACTTAAGTTCCCAAAGGACATTTAGCTCTAGGGGTGAAGGTTTATTCATGTTTCCTTTAGTAAGAAGAGGTTAACAAACATTTCAGTTATCAGTTTAATTTATATACTAGTTTTAATTATTTCAATTTTCTGGTCCGTTTTTTCCATCCATAGAAGGTAGTGAGGCTTCAGCAATTCCTGACCCATTTTTAAGCCAATAAGCAATTGTTTTTTTTTTTTTTTTTTTTTTTTTACCACTAGACCAATACTACAAAGGCCTGTAACACGAAGCAAGCTCAATGTACTGGAGTTTCTCCCAGCCTATCCTGTTCAACCAATCCACAACAAAAGCAACCATGACCAGCAGTACCACAAAGTTGGTTCTCAACTTGCTAACTCAATCCAGATTTAATTGATCATGAATCTGCAGGCACACATATAAAGGGGCGGGTTCAAGGTAGCAGAACAATCCCAATCAAGAGTGCAGAATAAAAGTGCCGCATTTCTTCTGTGAGGAACAAAAACTAATCTTACAGAAATACGAAGAAGAAAAAAAAGGTCTCAATGGAAAGTCAAACATGGTGGCAGTATGAAAGATATGCCGAATGACATGGCAAATGATTGCAGACTATATAAATGTGCAGTCAGGAAAGGTTAAACATCAGTGATAGTTAACACCGACTGTATCCTAGCCTGTACTACATATTAATCGCGTGCCCTTTGGGACTGAAGAGGAATTGATGGAGGAGTTGATAAAATAAAACCCTAAAACATAATTTCATCAAAATCTACTCTGCTTTTAAAAAAAGTCATCAAATGCAACCCCAAATGTACAGAAATAGAAAGCTAGCCTGCCCCGGAGCAGGTTTGCAGTTGAGAGTCAGAGGCGGCTGGTTGAGTTTTCTCCAGGTGGGGCTATAACTGTAAAACAGACGTAAAAATAGGATTAAATTGGATAAAAATGACACACAGTAAATTGATCTGAGATTAATTTGGATATAAAGGAAACCGAATAATTTCTTTGGAAAACTTTGAAAACATAATTTAATTATTGTGGCTGAATTCTTTATGCTCCTTTAAAAATTACTTTTTTGAGCCTTTATTTTGTATTTAATACAGTAATAAAAAAAATCACGGTTTTGTATACACTGATGCTATCAAAATATACATCAATGTCATTAATTTCAAGACCTTGTATGACCTTGTTGTTTTGAATGTCTGTGTTTACATGGGATGTGGTAGGAATGTTTCTATTTGGGTCAGTTGTTTGTTACCATGGCAGTCTGTGTTGGTGAATCTGGGAGGAGTAGCTTCTGAAGGAGCTGCTCTGCGTGGATCAGGATGGGTGTGTTTGTTTGGCTGATGAGTTAAAAAATCAACAGTTTTTCTTGGGAATGAGTTGCTCCACCCTGAAGTGATGTCTTCTTTGATAGAGGTTTTCATTTATCTGTCTGCCGTGGAGACATATTTTTCATTTAAAATTTGCCAGTGTTTTTCATCAAGATAAACATTCAAGACACAGAGATTTAGTGTGAATGGCCATTTGAGGGGGAAAAAGCTCATGATGCTGCATCACACCCCAGTCTTTACACAGACTTTAGAGCATAGTACTGTGGGTTCAAAAATTGCAGAGATATTTTGCAGATCAGACAACGGAACAAAGTTGGGACATGCTTTCAAACTGCTTAGTCAGACAGCTGTCTCATCAAATTGTAATTATTGTGTGTTAAAAAGAGTTAAGAAACATTCAAACAGGGTTCTGAAAAGGCAGGAGACAGACACATGGTCTGGGTTTTGCTTTTGTTTGTGTATTCTGGAAGCACACCAGCCACATCGGCGCATCTACTGGGCTGGGACGCACAATTACAGCAAGAGCAGGCCGACTTCTGCAAATATTCTCCATAAAATGTGCAGAGGTTTGGTCTAAAGCTGATCCGCAGTAATATACGAGATGTTAGGACAGTGATCATAATCTCAGAAAAACCACATGATTTCTAGTTGCAGTAACTCTTGACTTACATCAGAGATGATGACAATCATCTTGTCATCAGTTATTTGTGACAACCGCAAGTAAAATATACAACAGGGTGAGCACGCAGAATACCCAAAAAAGGCTAAAATCAGAGTCTTGCTGGGACTGGATGGCCTTGGGGCAAAAGAGGTTATTTCCTAGAAAACTCTGGAGTTGCTTGACCAAACAGCAAGCATGCAGCTCTACTGAATTTATTCAGACAGGAT